TTGAGTCTTTGTATACGTTGATATTCGGCTATCTTCTTTAAATCTTCTGGTTTTCCATCAAGCAATGCAACACCGATGTGAGCTTGTTTAAGAGCACCAACATCATTTGTACCATCCCCACACATTAATGTGGTATAACCAGCCTGTTTCAGGGCGGTCAATATGTATTCCTAAAAAACAGAATATTTATTAAGAATTTACTAATAACATAAATGTATCTTTATGATTGAGGCGAACCTTTTGTCCAGGAGATACACGAGCATAAACCCAAGTATGCGTTAGCAACTCTTTGACAGATGGCTTATTTTCAAATAACGAGAGCGCAGTGCCGGTTATACATAGATCATAATTTTGATAAATATTTGGATTTATGGGCTCAGCTAAGTTGACAGGCATCACCGTTTTTTCGTCAACCGACTTCCAAACAAGATCTTCAAACAGAATAGAGTCAATTAAATGTTTATACTATCAAAGTTTTAAATGTGGCTTAGTAAAGGGTACCATCGTTGCTACGGGCATTTTCACGGATGTCCAAGATCAACACTTCACGATCGACTATGTCAACTTCACGTGCGATATGACAAGCCGTTAGCGGGTTGTCGCCAGTTATCATTACAACCTAGAATTCAGAATTAAAAATTTTGTTTCCAATGAGTTACTAGCGTGTCTACATGGTAAGTAATGGAAATCATTTAATTATAGAAACCTACCCTGTGAGATGATTCGTTTAGCATTTGTATAGTAGAAACCGCATCTTCCTTAAGCGGGCATGTGAATATCAGGAAACCGGCAAAATTTAATTCGCTTTCGACGGATTCACGTGGGAGATCATTAATCTACGAAAATTTTTTAGAGATTGAATTAAACGTAAAATTAAATTTGTTTTGAGTTAAAGTTAATTGGATACTTTATACCTCTTCAATATTCATGTTATCATTTATGTATTTATATCCTAAAGCTAAAACTCGACTTCCTCTTCTCATAAAAAATTTATAAGTCTCTTCGTAGTCGTCAGGTACGTATGTATACATATCGCGTAATGTTTCTGGAGCACCTTTTACCGCTACAAAAGTTTTTTTGGATCTTGTTGTATGGACCGTAGAAATGCTTGACATGCGTTTAAGTACGGGAGAAAATTGAAACCGACGGCGAATCTGAAGTTGAGATCGTTGCTGAAAACGCGTAGATTGCTGATTTGCTGGAATAACCGTATCGCCTTTAAATAATAATAATAATATGTTTCATTCATGTTTTAATGATCAACATACTCCAAAATGAACTAATCGGAAATCGTACCTTTTTCAAGTTTCCATTCTAAAGCTTCTAAAGTGGATTTTTCCATGGGATCACCAACGACGTCATCTTCCAATTTTACCAAAGCATGTGCTGTCGC